CCGAAAAAAAAAAAAAAAAGACGCAAACTTTTGCCTAATTCACGACAGCGCTCCCTGCAGTCGCTCTCCTGAGCCCCTCGGGAACTCATCTCCTTCGTGACCAAATCTCACGCGTACAGATTCTCCCTCTCCCTTACAGAAATCATCTGTTCAGGCAGAGGCACTGCTTGTTTTTCTGAACCTCCCCTCGTGAAATAAAGCTCCCAGTTAAGAGAAGCAAGTGAGCGAGACCTCTCCGACACCACAGCGTTTCAGTTTGTCTGGAAATACCAGAGGTGTTCAAAACCCCTTCCAACACCTTGGTGGACCGGCCGATTGTTCCTCTTTACTCAGGAGGAGACAAGACTCAGCACAAGGGGCTTCCTAACCTGCGAGCACTCGAAGAGAACTGGCTGGGCTGTCTTTGTTCAGCGCAGTCGGCCCAAGGACACAGCCCTTTTTTTTTTTTTTTTTCCTTTTTCCTTTTTTTGGGTTAATTTTAAGGGTTAATTTTAAATCACTTCCTGTCTGGACCAGTGTAATTTCCTCCTGTGATCTCCTGAGTTTCTGCCCTGTAAACATCGGGGAGTACAGAAGAGCAGGGTCACGCTGTTCTCAGGGCAGGAAGCAAAAACCCTGGAACCGCCGCTGTCTTTATCTGACTGGGATTTCAAACCTGTCCTTAGGGTTAGAGATTTTTCACGGGCTCTGGAGTAAATTCAACCGTTTCCCTGTGAACGTTCCCTCGAAACAGCTACAGCTCACGGCACGTCCCCCGCAGAACAGCGCGTGGGCACCCACGAGCCCCCCTGGGCGCTAAGGCAGCGGCGGCAGCGCAGGGCTCAGCAGGAACAGACTCACTGCCCCTCGTCCCAGCGCCTCTGAGGACGGGCGGCGGCAGCACGGGCACCCCTTAGTTCAGGTTGGTCGCTATGTTTTTTCTATGTTTGTCTTTATGTTTGGTTTTTTTTTTCAGAACAGAAGTAACTCCCGTTACTTCCAGCAATATACACAGCACAGGACGCGCAGAGATCTCATCTGGGGCTTCATCTTGTGACAAGGGTCACAATTCACACACCTACGACGTGGCCCTCAGGACATAGCTCTCACTATTAAAAGGTTTTTTTTTATCATTTACAGCAGCAGTCATTACTATGAAATCCGAACAAACTACAGAACCAGTATTTCCTTATCCAATACATCCGATCTTCCCCTTCAGGATTCTACAACAAGTTCTCATCTGGGGACAATCTCCTCCTTTTTCCCCACTGCTGCGACTGTGCTAGAAGAGAAACAGCCAGAGGTGGCACCTCCTACCTGGACACACTCTTCCAGGTCCATTTTTTCAAGCTCGTGGCAGTTCTAGGAACAAACAGAAGACCGAACACACAAGCTAAGTGTAAAGTTCAGGCAGCAAATACAAACACAACTACAACGGAGAGAATTCTTGTTAAAAACGAAGGGTTCTCCCTCCATGAAACATCACGGCTGGGAAGTCTGCTGGTTCTTTACGAGCAGCACCACGTGTAGTAAAGGGTGTCTAGCAGTTCCACTCATTTAAAGCACAGAGGTGGTTTTTATTTTATTCACAGAAAATAAAGGCAGTTAAATTTAGGGCCACTTGTACACAGCTTAATCTAGAGAGAACAGACAGTAAAGTTTGACTCCCAGGTGTTTACCATTTCGTGTAGTTCGGATGCACACTGTCCCAGGTGCGTGGGTCAGGACAATGCCACAGATTACAAACAACTGAATTTTGGTAAAACTTAGCTTCTACTCAAACACGGAGATCAAAAGCATTACAAAAATCCGCACTCAAGAGAAAGCTACTTTTTTTTTTTTTTTTTTTTTTTTTTTTTTTTTTTTTTTTTTTTTTTTTTTTGCATCAATCATGAAAAGAAAAGTGGAAATGAGCACTTACCCTAGCTAGAGTGGTAAAGCCCACATCTGTTAGTTGAGAACACCTTGCAACTTCTAATATTCTGCACAGAAAGAATTTATAATAACCATGGTGGAGTCATTTTGCTTTTCAGAGTGTTTCATTAAAAGCTTCCAGCAACCCAGAAAAGTTTGACCCGGTTTAGGCTGTGCTCTCCGAGAGGATAATTTGCACAGAGCATCCATCCACCCTCTATACCACGAGTGTAAGTCACGGGGAAAGAAAAAAAGAAGTCAGGCTAAAAGGGAACTCCACGGGTCACCCAGTCCGTGCCCCGCCACGAGGCGGGGGGGGGTCTAATCCGACAAACGCTGGACTAAGGTGCTCTGAAAAACCTCCACTGCTGGACGCTCCACAACCTCCCCGAGCGCTCTCCTCTGGTTTCCACCCCGAGTACAGAGCTCGCCACGGAAAAGGGCGCGAGACACGACAACCTGGCAGGCGAGCGTTAAAGAGAATAAATATTTAGTGCCATGATAGAAAGAGTCTGAAGTTTGCTAAGAGGCAAGCTGCTGGCAGACAGTCACCACAGCCCTGCAGAGGTTTCCGTCCCAGGGGTTACGTGTTCATCAACCTTTATAAAAAAAGGGAAACCAGCTCGCCTGGAGTGCACTCTGCGTTGTACCGCAGGGAGCATCGCCCTGTAAAGCTGCAGCCGAACGTAAGCGCAGAGACCATTCGGAACCCAAACTGTATTTTACCTTCCTCTTTCAAAACAGGTTCTATGCTGCACTCTGTGCCCGTAGTTCTTTAAATGAGATTATCACAGAAAACAGTTGTGTTTTGTTTTCTGGAAGACATGTATTTTATCCCGTTTAACACGGGCCACGCAGCTCCTACAGATGGCAGATAATAAAACTGTCTCTTCTTCCTGCATCTGGCCATTTTCTGAATTATAGCGAAGCCTTCCCGAAGAAACTTGTCCTAATTAAAAAAAGGTCTTAAAAAATAGTAAAAAAAAAAAAAAACCAACCCCAAAAGCCAACACCTGCAGAGATGCCGCTGGAAGCAGAGTGAAAGTTTGCACAAATTCCATCTGCTGCAAAATCACCAGGAAAACCCTGTTGATATCACATGTCAAGAGGAAACCACGTTGTTTAAATGTGTTTTCAGTTCTCAACACAAAAGTAACCTAACCTCAACTGTTTTTTATGAAAGAACAAAAGGAGATACACAATGGTGTAAAAGGAGACTGCTACTAAACGAGTCCGTTGGCAGCGCACACCACCATGGCATGGAGCTCTTTTACTACTCTTTTACTCGCACCACGAATTGGAGAAAACAGAATTTGGAGAAAACAGAATTTGGAGAAAACAGAATTTGGAGAAAACAGAATTTGGAGAAAACAGAATTTGGAGAAAACAGAATTTGGAGAAAACAGAATTTGGAGAAAACAGAATCTTTAGAAAAGCAACTCCTTCAGAGTCTGAACTGGCTCGAAGGCCCCACGACCGAGTCCCCCAGATCCTCGGCTTGAGGCGCTGGGGTTGCTCCGTGCTGAACGCTTACCTGAGCCTCGGGCAGTTCTGTCCCAGGGCATTCAAGATGGCATCGGTGATGTTACAGCAGCCTGAAGCACACAAGGATTGTAACTTGTGGCATCCTCTGCATATTGTAATGAGACCATCATCTGTTATTTGCTACAAGAAAAACAATAACAACATCACAAGCCATAACAACGTAGGTGGAGGTGCAAGGCGCTGCGTATTTTCCTTCTCAGGCCGCCAACCAGGCACTTAACTAAGGCCAAGTTACGCTTCTTTCAACCCCAAAATGCGTTCAAATATTTAACTGGAGCAGCCGAAACGGGATAAGCCACATCGAAGTGACTTGTAAACATTCGGAAAGTGATTCCACATGGAGGGAAACGTTTCCGAGCTGCCCCGCGTGAGCCCCGGCGGAAGGCAAAGGCTAGGCTGGGTCTCCTGCCTTCCCCTGCAACCCCCCCCGCTTGTAAAGACCTTCTTGGCTCAAACCCAGGACAAGAAAGCACCGAACAGTCAGTTACCCACAAAATAAGGTTGTTTTCACAATGAGCCTTTTTAAAAAATACACTTGAGCGGTTTGGGACCAAGACCTGAGCCACGAGACCGGCACTCAGCCAGACCCAGGTTGATTCGCTCCATCGACCCGCAGCATCCCCGGACACTCGGGCTCCTCCAGCCCCACGTGCTCTGCTCTGGGATGGCGGCAGAGCACAGATCTGCTCCAGGCGAGGGGCTGGGACTCGGCGTGGCCGTGCCAAGGGGCCGCACGGGACCCGGAGCGAGGTGGCAGCAGGAGAAGGGGAAGAGGGACAAGAGGTGGCAGCGGCTCTGTGTGCCAGAGCCCCAGGTTAAACCTCACTTTGTTCTTTGGTTCTGGATTTTTCAGAGGCAGCCAGAATCAATTCCCACAGAAAAACACCAACCTAGGGATCGGCACTGCTTCTTTTAAACTAGCGAAGAGCACGTCTGTGAGCTGGGAAGCCCAAGTTCTGGAGCGAGATGAAACAGAAAGCGAGTAGAACTTGGTGTTTTCAGTTAAGGCAACCAAGAACTTTCCTCATTTTCTTCTCCCTTCTGCCTATTTGCCTCTCCCCTCCCTGCCTTTCCCCTAGACCCCAGACGCAGGTCTGGAACCCGCTCCCAGTTCAGCTCCTCCTTTGCAAGCCCCCGGCCTCAGATGGGCACCAGTCTAGCCAGTTCAGTAACTGGTAGAGCTCCTCCTCAAACAGGACGGGGGCAGGACAGCCCTGCAGCCTTGCCCACTTCTGTGGAAAAGGAAAAGACTGTCCAGTTACTCACTCCGCATGAGGGCACGCACAAAGAGCCCTTTCCAATTTCTTTTTTGGCATAAATACACATTTTTTGGCATAAATACACATTTTTGGCACCGCAGAGTAACTGGTTTAGAGCCCTTCTGCGCAGGGAAACTGCACTTCTTGGTTCAATTTTATAAAGAGAGCAGAGGAACCGCCTGCCTAGATCACACAAACACTCCAGCCCAACGGAAAGAATTTTTCCAGCTAGTCCTGCAAACGAGTTCAGAAGCCCCGTGGGCAGGGCAAAAAGACAAAACAATTCCGACAAAGCGAATGCTACGACACTGTTTTGGGGGCTTATTCAACATTACTGAATGCTACCAAAAAAAAAAAAAAAAAAGCCGGTTTTCATCAACTATTTTTAAAAGTCTCGTAAATTTACAATTGCCCTGTCCGCAGGGATGATGTTGCTGGGATGGAGTACATTCTGCACGCTTCTGCCTCTGCATGCACAATGGTGGCTGAGCTGGGAAATCGTAGGAAGCTTTACTTACTAAGCATGTTTGAAGGTTTAAAGTCACCAGTTCGGGACAATGTGCACCAATGTATTTCAGAGCTTCGTCCTCCAGCTGGGAAGAAAAACGTAGAGAGACTTAAGCAATCAGTTAATATTCGAAGCAATCTTCAAAATAAAGCTTTGAGAACAATAAAGCATCTGTGGTTTGGATACCTATGGGGGAGGAGGGCAATGCACTGCACTCCCAAAATACACAGCAGTAAGTGCATGCCCTTTTTTTTTTTTTTTTTCTCCTTCCCCTTTTTTCCCCATCTCAGGAACAGAGTTCAAAGACCCACAACACTAAGTTACTGATTTAAAGAGAAGCCGCTCTGATAAAACACGCGTAATTAACAACGCAAGCAGTGAAATCAGAAACTGTTTACAGGAATTAAGGAAATGCTTCACCAGTGAGGGCCTTTAAGTGACACTACTTTTATATTGCGATATTGGAACTCAAAAAAAATTAAAAAAAAAAAATAAATCTTATTTTAATGTGAGGAGCGCAAACATATCCAGGTTGCTTTCTGATGATAAAAAAGCCTGCTATTCTTAAATCTATAAGAACAGATGGCAAGTAATTGATAACAAGGATGTATTGCCATCAATATTACTCACGACTCCATAAATTACTAGAAACTCAAGCTGTTTCTATGACCTGAATTCTCAAAATAGGCCGAGATTGTTTTATCTCTAACCAAGTCATTTTTACAGCCACGTATACCCGTCTCACGTATTAAAAACCCAACAGTGGTATAAATTTAGAAAAAAACTACCGACTGTAGCCCTTGCAGCTGGGCTTTCTCGTGCGCACAGGGGTATTGCTGCTCTGTGCACGTTAACCAGCGTGGTGTTGGGATAAGCAAAGCAAGAATCTTAGGGGACTTTGTGTCCATGCACAGGAGAAATAACGCTTTTCGCAAAATCAAAACAGAGAGCTTCGTCTATACATAGCAGACGAAAATGGCACTTAGTGACTCATACTTCAGGAATCCCTGAAGAAAAAAAAAGCCTAAAAAAAAAAAAAAAATCCAAACCAAATCAGTGCTGTCCACGTTTGGGTGCAAGGACCCAACAGATCAGAGATCATCTTCCACGTCTACCTCAAGGCTCTTAAAACTGTTGGAAGTTTCTGGGTCACAGGTTTCAACTCCTGTGGGGTCTGTTTTATTCTCCCTTTTCCAAGACAAGACTCTGAGACACGGGTTTGCTCCTTTCTAGCCTATCTGTCTGCATTAAAAAGACCCCAGCTCACTGAAGTGGGGAAAAAAAAAAAAAAAAAAGATTTAGTCCCCACATTCTTTGTGAAAGGGCTCTGCAAGGAGCTCTTGCTCATTAAAAGAGGAATGCTCAAGGCTGATGTTCCCCACGCTCCAGCTCATCACTGATGTAACTCCTTGGTAAAGCTGTAATACAGGGAAGTACTTAACATATCAACATTTTCAATGATTCCCCAGGTAAGACAGTAAAGAAAGATTAAAGGGAGTTAGTCTAAATAATGAGTATTAAGAGGGCAGAACATCCCCTTTCAGTTGTAGGAGTCAGTTCACCACTTGTAGATTGCAGAGTAGAGCATCGCAGTCTGCAGCCTCTTCAGAACAGAGTTATAGCTCAGAGCTCTAGGATATTCCCGAGGGGACAGGACTATCCTCCTGACGGGCTGCAGAGATGTCTTCTCAAGCAGTCACATCCTCTCTGATTCTGCCTAACCAGAAGATCCCAACGACACGCAGAGGGAAACTCTATCACCAGCCCAGATGAAAGTACTGTCAAGCTTTCTAAAATTTTCCGAGCCTCCCGAAACGGATGGGTCTAGCCATGAGTAACAGTTATCTCCTCTTTAAAAAAAAAAAAAAGTTTGCTCAATGTGTTCCCGATGGGAAAAAAAGAAGAACGATTCTCCGGCTAGAATATGCCATTTGTTCGCTGTCCCACTATTCATGCTCGAGCTCAAAGCTATTAAAGAATTTCGATAAAAGCAGTTAATCTCCAACAGACAGATTGCGAGTAATTTCAGTAACGTAACATTTCTGGAAATAGAAAAATCCACAGTGCTTCAGCCCCGTACTTCCAGTTGGAGCAGAGGGAAGGCAGGTGTGAGCGGAGCCGTACCTGCGTGCAGCCCTTCAGGAACAGGGCTCTGAGCCCCCCGCAGCCCCTCACCAGCGCCTGGATCCCGTCCTTCGTCACTTGGTCGCACCAGGAGATATTCAGCTGTTCCAGCAGTGGGCATCCCTCGCTTTGGAGGTGAAAGGAAAAGCGTGTGGAAACTTGGGGTTTGGTTTGGAAAGAAATCCCGCTGAAAAGGCAGAACCTTGGAAATTCCTCGTTTCTGGAACCCACACCCCGCAACCCCACACACCTACGGGGAACACGTCCATCAAACATCATCTCCAGGCGAGCAGCTCTGCGGAGGCAGCACCGGGGTAAACCACCACTGATTTACCCCATTTCGGACCCCTCCCAGCTCCCATACAAGGACAGACACCACGGACTTTCTGGGTCTGAGTACAACCAGACCGCCCCCCAACAGAAACCGAACCCAGGGCCGATTCCTGCCACGCTGCTTCTGACCCTCCAGGTGTAACTTTGCATCGGCGAACAGCTGCCAGCAGGAGCGACGCTCCCGTGTAATTTGTAGTTAGGAAGAGATGCACATGCTATCAGGTATTTAAGACAGCTGCAGCACAAACCTGACCAGTGAAATTAGAGACAAGGATGAAGATCCTCAAGGGAAGGAAAAAACAGGCTCGAAGTATTTTAATTCGTTTAATTCACGCGTTCTTTCAAATCTGTGTTTTCTTCTGGTGTCTAGATTCACCCTCTAGTATTTTTCCCCCCCGTGATACAGCTTTACTCTACCTTCTTTTATTCCACTGGTGTACCGCTTCAATTTTTTTTTTTCTTTAACAGCTTGGCCTCTATTGATACCTTTAGTGGGTTTTTTGCCTCCTTGTCTCTGTCCCAGTATCGTCCCACCAATGTCTGTCTGTCCCTTCCTTTTCTAGATTACTTGGCAATTCCATTTAGCAGACTTAAGCAGTTATATGTCTCCTAAGCAATTTAAAAAGACAAATAGTCACACGCTGGTTTTCTCCTTCTAGCTATGTAAACAATTGCTAAGCACGCAATGGCACACTTGCCACGAAGTCGACTGTTTGTAAATGAGCTTTTTGAAAAGGCTGACTAAGACTTCTGTCGCTCCCCAAAATCCCCCCCAAGGCTTTAAGAGCATATAATTCTTTTTCTACCGCTAATAACCATCAGGAGGGATGCAAAGAGTGCTGAGGGCAGCTTTTACGGAGTCCTCCCCCTCCTCCTCTGTCTTGGCAAACCAGGAGGCACAACGCCGGCGACACCTCAGCCTGGGTCAGCCTCCGCCGGGGCACACGGGGCAGCCCGCGGGGCGGCAGCGGGTCGCACCGCCTGGAATCAACCGGCCAAAGTCAAAGTTGTTGACTCCTACCTCAGTGCTTTCAGAGACAGGTTGGTTATGGAAGTGCAGGAAGCCAAATCAAGGTGCCTGAGTTTAGAGCAGAACTTGCTGAGGCTGGTACACGTACTGAAAGACAGCGTAAGAGGCACACTCACACGAGAGATTTATTCACAGTCCTACAAACTGCATTATCTACTGCGTGCACAGGCCTGACCTTCCCTTAAAAAGCGAGATGGAGAACGTAACACGGTGCACACAGAAAGGGGGACGACAGGGCAAACGGAGAAAAGAATTCTACTCACGCATCCGTGATCTTGGTACAGCCATTGAGGTTCAACACTTCAATATTTCTGCAGTTCTGCGCAAACGTCCTTTATTAAAGGCAAGGGAAGACACGGTATTTGTCAGGCAACAGACTTCCAGGTGTTTTACTGCATTTATTTTAACCGTGACGCACCAGATGTACTTTTTACAAAACTGTCTCAAACGAAATAAGTAAGTAAATAAAGGAAATAAATAATTTATGTCGCCCCATATCTTTGCCTTGGGATTTCCCAGCCTAAAGGCAAAAGCTTGTAATTCAGCGCCAATTACTCCTTAGCCTGTAGCAGCAGCTGGCATTATTTTAACGAGAACCGAGAAAAACGGCTACTGCGTGAAGTTAAAAAAATGATAAATTGAAAAGCCTTGTTGTCGTGGCTCTTGAGGTTTTAAGTTAAGACACACAGGCTAAAGATCCGAGTTCCAAACTGTTCATACATTATTCCAACCCTCCGTGGTTGTAGAAACAGAATTTATCCTTTACAGCACGTTGAAGAACAGGAAGAAGCCACACGGCTACCTTAACGCGTTGTCTCCCACTCCTAGACAGCCACGCAGGCTTAACTTCCGCAAGAAACCCCCACATCTTTTAGAAATATTTTCAACCACTCGGCCCTGTCGGAGATAGAAAGAATTACATTTAAAATCCGGAAGACCATCGATCATTCCAAAAAGTTGAATTCAAAACTGTGCAGATTAACAACGGTTTCTTACGCTAGGTAAAACAATGCTAAAGAACACAAAAATGCCACGATAATAATCTAAGGCAGGGAGAGGGAGAATTATTCAGCTTCTGAAGATGGAGAGACAAGGAACAATTACCTAAAGCCACTCAGGCTAACGACTGAGGAACTTCCTCCTGTTCAGAGCTCCCGGACACCCATACAGACTGCCCAAGAAAGATGAGAGAAGCAACTCCATCGCTACAGTAAGATTTACAAATCGGTACAGTCGACGTACTATAAATGGACGTACTTAAATTTCTATTCAAATAGAGATGAGGCAGGACCAGCCCACGAGTTTTATTCTCACAGAAAAGGGATTCAAACGTTTGTGTTCGAGGCATCTGGAAAAATGCTTTTTTAATTTCCAATTTGTCATCAGTGGAAGCCTCCAAAGACCTTGCTCGCATTTACCCAGCTACTTCTCACTGAATGAAGGGCAAAAAAACATTGAGAGAATATTCATATCAGCGTCCAGAAATTGAAACACCTTCCCTTCCACTTTAGTCTACGTGGTTGTTCACCACGGAACGGGAACATCACTTGGCTCTTCAAGTACTAGCTGGCATTTAAGGCCTCTGTAACGCTGAGGACATTCTTCATTAATCTTTTGCCGGTCCATAAAAAAAAATATCAAGCATCAGGCTCGGTACAACGTAATACCACAATCCTAGGAAGGGACACCAGATCTCTGCAGGAGCTTCTGGTGCCATCGGGCCGGTCGGGAGCGGCGCAGGGGCCGTGGGGGCCAGCGGACGGGTTGCCCTGGCCAGCAGACGGGTTGCCTTGGCTCATGGCTCGCCCGGGACCGAAGCCTGACCCGCACGTCCCTGCGCAAGGGCTGGGGAAGCTGAAACAGCCCCGCGTGGTTTTGCGATTCCTCCAGCGAGCTTATGAATTCAGCTGCTTGAATTCGAGGATTCAAACACGGTTATATATAGAATTTACATCAACTGATGGGATTTACATTCCTTCAAAGCAAACAACGCCGCGGACATCCGAGGGTCTAGCGGGTCCTTCCAGGTGAGGTACAACACCCCCGAGCATCTGGTTTTAAAGGGGGAAGCCTTGTGCTGATGCCAGAACACGCGTTTGATGTATAGAGTGGTGTTAAGAGAACAAAGAGACATTAAAACCATGCAAAAACCACTCAAGAATGAGAAAAGCCTCGTTTGTATTCACAGCACTCCTGCCTCTCTGCCTCCTACACAGACCGACGACAGCAGCAAGGCTGAGCGGCTCTGGCCACGCTTCCACGGAGCAGGCGCCACCCGGAGCTTCGCTCTGCCTCTAGGGAAGGAAACAGCGATAGGGGTCCAGAAGTTTCAAGGCACGTTAGGAGAGAAAGGATTTATTTATCAAGAAAAAATCACACCGCTTGCTTCCCTCAAGCAGTCTCAGGCACTCAGACCCCTGCAAGCGTGTGCAGAAGTCACAGTGTCACAGGCCTGTGCCTTTATCCGGGCACGCAGCTGGCAGAAAGAGATTATTTTAACTCTTTCCTCCACAAACAACACGTGCATTTCCCGCCAGCTCCAGCGAGGTGTGAATCGTCATCGTCAGGTTCGTGCCTCTGTCTATAAGGAGTTAAAATTATACACTCCCTATCTCCCTCCTCCAACATCTCTTAAAGAGGATATAACATTCTGATAAGAAACTTTAAGTTGTTTTTTTTCTTTTTCCCCCTCATCCCTTTTCCTAATTAATGCAATTCTAATTTTAAGAACAGCACGACAGCAGCATCCAGTTCCCATCAGTGCTGAGCAGTCCACATCGAACAGATTTAGAGCAGCTACAACGCAGCGCTCCCAAAGCTGCATCTTTTAGAAATAACCTTGACCTCTCTCCCCTGCGTCACCTTCCGCTTACGTTTCAATTTTTGATATTCGAGGCAGACAGGAAAGGTTAAGACATATCGCAGGCCACGTTTCAAAAGACATCCAGTCTTAGTGGTCCAAGTCAGCGCGATGTTAACGTTGCTTTGAGCGGAAAGTAGCCTAAATTCTGCTACACAGCAGCAGTGGTTTTCCACGAGAACGTACCTATTCTACTCATTTCTGTTTTCAGAGCACGCACAAAAATACTTTCCTTCTCTCGCTACCTTTAAGTCTTGATACAGATATATAATTCCGTCCATTTTCAAAAGCTGAATGGATTGCCAAAGACTTTAAAGACTCCCTGAAGCTAAGAAGAACTGAAATTAATGATTTCTATCTCCAGGGAAGGTAAAAAGGGTTACGCTGGGAGTATTAATCCATTCTAGGCTGTAATTACATTTTAACAAGAAAAATGGGTTTGTATGTCACTTAATTATACCTCAATATCCCTCTGGAAATCAAACAGGTCAATTCGCTGCCAGTTACTGCCATCCAGGGCCAGAACATTCCATGCCTTTATCGGGGGAAAAAATGTAAATGTGTTGTTAATATGAAAAAAAACCCGCCAGTGGGGACCTCGTTACAGTTTGTTCCTTACAGAAACAACATTCTGTCTCGAGATGTAAAAGCAACAAGTAATTACAGCCAACACAGAAAACCGGGCAGGTACCGGAACCACGTGCTCGGACGAGGGTCCCCTCAGGTACGTGGCCCAGCTCTGCGCAAGTCCCCAGAGCAGTGGGGGCCCCCGCCACGTCCGTCTGTCCCCGCCACGTCTGTCGGCCCCCGCCACGTCAACCCCTGCCATGTCCGTTGGCCCCTGCCACGTCTGTCCCCACCACGTCCGTCTGTCCTGGCCACGTCTGTTCCCACCATGTGTGTCTCCGCCACGTCAGCCCCTGCCACGTCCACTGGCCCCTGCCCTGTCTGTCCCCACCACGTCTGTCTGTCCCCACCACGTCTGTCTCCGCCACGTCCATCTGTCCTGGCCACGTCTGTTCCCACCACGTCTGTCTCCGCCATGTCAGCCCCTGCCATGTCTGTCCCCGCCACGTCCGTCTGTCCCCGCCACGTCCGTCCGTCCCCGCGGGAGGTGGAGCTGCTGGAGCGGGGGCATCCTCCCCGTCCCGGTTGGAACGTGACCCCTCGGCACCCAGCGCCTTTGGAGGATGCCAGCTGGGCCAACACGGGGATGGAGGGCACCGGGCCACGGGCGAGACCCAGCGGAGGCCCCGGTCCCAGCCCCGCCAAGAGAAGCGAAGCCGCTCTGAGGGCGCGGGGGGACTCGGGGGTGCCTCTGTGGGGACATCCCGCCAGCTGCCACCTCCTCCTGCCCACCTCCGCAGCCCGGTGCTGGGGGTGCTGCGTCCCACGGATGGAGAAATCCAAAACTTCTTAAACCATCCAGATACAGCACCCAGCTCTTACCTGAGAGCCACACGCCACTGCCGGAGGGACAGTGCTCGCTACCTCTGACCGAAGAGTTTGCTTTGGGTTATTTTTTATTTTTTTTTAAACAAATAAACAAACAAATCGCATGTGCTTCGTGCTACAAATGAAAACCAGGACCTGAAAGTTAGTAATTCTGCCCTTAACGAATCAAAAAGGTTGTCAACACAGTACTATACTTGAAGTTTTAATTACATAATCAAAGTAAACAACTAGATCTCATAATAACCATGAGTCCATCATTATGAAAGAGTGCATGTATATGTATATAGGCATATTTTTATACTACATCTATCACATGCACTAAGCCACATCACCACCACAACGTACTAGTTCTTGTGCAAGCCCCATATAGACTTAGAACAGCCAACAGGACTGTGAGCATTCGCTGATTTTCTGCGTTTCAACTCTCGTTGCTGATATTTAAGGTCTAGTTATCGCCATGAGACAAGTCATAGCTCCAGTGAAAAAGAAACGCATCAGTGGATGGAAGTTATAAGACGGCAGATTTCACTGTGTAACGTAGGACATTACAAACAGCCTCTCTGGAGCTCTGCGCAGGTGCTTCAGCCCTTTACAACACGAGCTGTGCCACGTAATGACTAATACGTTCTCTGATGCCCCGTGGACTGTGTAAACAGGAGCAAGCTCCAAAAATTGGAGTACGCTGACATCGGCAAGTATCTTTAACAGCCTGTTTTGGTCAATATTGTTCTGCTGGAGCAGAGAATTTCAGCTGGAAGATCAGAACACGGGATGATAACCGTGATGCTTAGGCATCACACGGGATATTAGTTAAAGCAATTAAAAACGTTTAAACGTAGGGATTTTTTTGGTTTTATGCGCTCTGGATAATGACAAGTTACGGTTCAAGTTTGAAGCCGAGATTGATCAGTTTTGTACAGGTGTACTGCCAGTCCAGAGAACACACCAGCACAAACACCTTCCCAGGTAACCAGCCTCCCATGCCCGCTGTAGGGATGTTCCCTCTGCGTGGCGGGATAAAGCATCTGAACAAGTCTGGTAGCTCTAGTTAACCCAACCTGCAGCTGGAGGCACTTTCCCAAGCAAATAACCCAAGCTGGATTTCATTAGCTGAAGCCCACAAAAACAACGAGCTCCTTAAGGAAAACAATCCTAAACAACACACTTTTTAAAAAATTTTTTCCTTCTATGCTTACTTCAACTCCATCCAAGTAGGAAAGTAAAATTTCAGTGACCGCACGGCATCTTTGAGAGTCAAAATTTCTGTATCTCCACCAAAAAAAAAACCCACAAGATGTCATTTCAGACTCCTCCACGTTTGGTATTTTCATCAGCACTGTCCTCCTGTACAAACCCCGTCCGACTGGGGAGTCCTTGGGCAAGAGCTCAGCCACCTCCCTCCCCCTCGTAACCTGCTCAGGGCCCAGGACACCGGCCTAAGGGTATTTGAGTTCCCCTTCGCTGGTGCCATCAGAAGTTTCTGGCGTTGCGGTGTTAATACGGGACATTAAATGACAATAGTTGAGTTGCACAAAAGCTCCCTGGCACAAATCCTCCCAGTGTGACACGCTAGGGAAGGCTGGAGCGAGAGGAGCGTCACCCAAATCCAATCAACTGTTAAAATCCACCAGCAAGGAGGAAGGTTCTTACCCTGGAAACTTGAGCACAACGACACAGAGTGACCACATCCAGGAAAGAGAAAATTCTGTAATGGAAAGAAAAGATACCTTATTAGTTATCTATATTTAAAACAAAGAGAACATGGAAAACAAAGGGAGGGGGGAAAAAAAAAAAAAAAAAAAAAAAAGGACTGGAGACAGCAAAACTTCTTTGTCATTCAGATGAAAGCTGAACTGTGAAAAGAAGCGCAGAGCTAGCAGTTAACAAATGAACACAAACCACGGATACCGAGCCGCTGTGAAATATTAATCTCACACCTGGTGGCATTTACTGACAGTAGCACGAACGCTTGTTTATCAAAACAGTCATACTGCGTAGCCGAACAGTCAAACGTCACGTCAGGGTACGGCAGAACAGCCGCATCAGGCTGTTCTCCGTTCAACCCTGTGCCCAGCACCTCTGTTCCACAAACACACCTTTAGCAACGGCTCTCCTGAGGCAGGCGGCGTAGTAACGAACAGATAATAAATCAAAACCGTGCGCCAGCCCGATTCCGGCGCGTGGGTTATTCCCTGTTTTTCACCCAGCTGTGCCAAACGTGCGGCGAGGTTAACACGGAGGCAGGGGGAGGGATTCTGCTCTGCCGCAGGCAAAGCGACGCGTTTAGGATGAAGCCGATGCGGTCACTCCTCTGTGGTGTGTCATTCCTCCGCCAGGGCACACCCAAGTGTTCAGGCCAACACCCTGGTGTTGCTGTCCTGTTTACTGGGGTAAAGGAATTAAGACGGTGATACTTTGCAATGCTATACTGGGCTGAGACATCCCCGCTTTTATCTCGGGCGTGTACGCCCTTATCTGTGAATGCAGGAAGCACCGAGCCCACTGAAAGCTCCCAAAATCTGTACCAGCGTGTCAGTATGGTTATTTCACCATTCACGGTTATTCAAGCAATCATATGCCACTGAACAGAGAAGGTCAAGCAAGACAGTAAAAAAATAGTAAGGTCTCATTCTCTTTGGTATTAATTACACTATGAAGCGTTTTCACAACAATAATACAAGTGTTTGACTGCAAGAAAACACTTGCACATACGCTTCGGTGTTTTAAATTTGAGGATCATCAGAAAGAGAAGGCAAACGTTCTCAGATGCAAGTGTTAAAATAAAAGGTTTGGGGCAATTTTGTTCCAATGCTATCCACCGTTTCATGAAATACTCCTGCCAGATGAAGCATGGCCGTCCAGAGGAATTCTGAGAACAAAACACAACTCGGCTGCTC